AGCGTTATCTCTCTTGTGATCTGATAGCAAAATATAAAGTGATTGAAAGATGTTTTATAATTTTGTGGCTATCACCAATTGTAACTCAGCCATTTTTCATATTTGAGATTTCAAAGTTCATTTCTGGTTTTCCCAAATTATTCATGATTGTATTTGAAATGCTAACAAATATTCATTCATGGATACTGTGATCCGTGTATCTCAATATTATGTTCTTTATTTTATGTTAAATAAGAACCATTGTTAAGTCAAATCTTACTACTTTTTCTGTTTCATGTTTTTGTTTCCTTATTTTTATTTATTCCATGTTTTCTTTTTTTGTTTTAGTTGGGTCTGGTAAGTTGACATTTTATTGGCCATCTTCTAATCACCGTGTCACTGTGACTGGAACTTCTCTTCCCCTTTCCATCCATACCCTTCCATGTCCTTCAACCAATCAGCCTCCATGTTTCACTTGTCATTGGCCACAAAGACAGACTGCACAGAATAAATCTGCAGGAAGTATGGGTAACTGTAACAAAGAGTAAAGGTAATGGGTTTGCTAACTTTCTGTCTTATTAAGTCATGTGTAATCTGCTTCCTTTACTTTCTTCCCTTCTGAAATAAGTGATAAGCCATAGGATTGTATCTTGGTGAAATACTATTTATGCCTCTAAAAGATTAAACAAATGAAATATATGCCCAGGGGAAATTTTAGCTTTCTTTGTTTCAGATATGTCCATAAAGCTGTATCTGTCTAATTTCTTGTAGCTATAGTACAATAGTAGTCTTTAGAAGTTCATGTGGTGAATAGCTTTGTATTTGGAGCTTGTTGGTTCTCATTTTCTTTGTGTCAGATTCATTTCATTTCATATGTGAGATAACCACATGGAATGTCTGAAATTTGCTTTGATTTTCTTTCTACCTCTATAAATAGTCACCAAGTTTCAGTGCACTTCATTTGGGAAAAAGATACATTCACTCAATCAGAATGCTAGAATGCCATGTGGGAGACATTGTGGTGCCAAAAGGCAGGCGAGACAGTAGTTTTCACCTGAAAATGATCTTTCTCACTGTTGTTTAAGGCAAAAGTCATACAAATATTATTTCATATTCATATGGATATGATGGGTTATTCACTAACTGTGATACAATAACCAGCTACTTAGGAAATATGTTATCTATAATATACTATAAAGACTATAGATTAATTAAATTTTAAATAAACATAAAAATAATGAAGACATTAAAAGTATGAAATACAAATTGAATTGCATATTTATATAATAAGTTATGTCTGATAGATTAATGTTTATATAATATTAATATAATAAAAGTAACATTAGAAAGGCTGTTCATGACATGGAAAATATATGTACATTATCTGAGAAATGGATGAAATTTTAGCATAGCAACAGTTTTAAGAAATCATAAAGAAAATGTAAATGTGTGGACATATTTTCCAAAACAGATATGTGAAGTGAACATGTGAAGAAAAACATGCTTGCTCACACAGGTAAAAGTGCTAACTAGGAGGAGAATCTGTTTTGAGTATACGTGTAATATTAATGCTCAGGATTTTTAAAATTTGAGGGAAAAAGCAATTGTGTGCTGTTAGTGAAAGTCTTAGGTGACAAAACAAAGTCTACATGCAATTTTGTTACATTTTAGTATGATATAGACCTTTGCATACTTTCTGATGCTATAATTATACTTCTAGGAAATATTATTGAGTATATTAGAGAGAAAACTGTTAACATTCCACTATGTTTAATAGTGAAAATTAACCCAATATTTGGGAGGATGAGGCAGGAAGATTGCAGAGATTTTTTGAGGCCAGCCTGGGCTACATACGAAGTTGAAGGCCAGCCTGGGCTATACAGGAAGATGCTGTTTCAAAAAAATAAAACCAAACAGAAGTAGTTAAAAAGGAGAAAAATCTGAATTTGTATTAGAATTCAAACTCGGGGGTTTTGTGCATGCTACACACATGCTCAACTACTGAGCTACATTCACGACTGAGAAAAATCAAAATTTAAAACAATAGTGATTTGATTAAATTATTTCACATAATATATATTATTGAATAGTTATTAAAATGCTTTAGTAAGAAACCGTTAGAATATTATCCAGTTTTCATAGTAAGATAATTGGTAGTCTTTATTTTCATCTTCTTTGTCAAATTTTCCATTTCAGGACTTAATACATCATTTCATTGGTTATATCATTGTGCAGTTTTGACTGCAACAAATTTAAATATTTTATGCAGTCATGAATATCAAGTATTGTACAACTGATGAATACCCTCAGTCTAAATTAGTATATGTTAATAGAAACATATTTGGTCTTTTTTGTCCTTAGAGCTATACCTGTATCTAGTATTTGATGTACATGCAGGGTTTTTTTCTGTTTGATTTCTGAAGCATAGTGTTACTATGTTTCCCTGTCTGTCTTTTAACTCCTGGGCTCAAGCAATGCTCCTGTCTCAGTAGCCAGGACCGTACACTTGTGCCACCACACCAAACGAGGATTTTTAAAAGTTTTGTTCCCAAGGCATCTCTTGTGGCTGATGTCACTGCTGATATTGGCTTGAGATTATGCCGAAAAAATATAGTAAATTTATTTCCAAGCAAATATCCTGTGTGGAAGGATTGCTTCAGGATAAATGTAGTTAGCATAAGGGTTTGTGTTCCTTGTTCCCAAATAAGTCTTTGAGGTCTGAAGAGAGCTGGCATTTTATAAAAGAAACAATTTCTGGCACACATTCTTAGACATGCTCATGAGACTTAGGAGAGAGACCACCCGAAGGTTTCACTTGACTAAGTGGTTTGAACGTTTATATTTTCCTACTCGGATTCCCTTCGTATTGGAAAGTCATGTGCTCCCACTCATCTAATTAATCATTTGGGTATTTTTCTCATTGAAAGTAACCAAACTGTAGTCTGAATTTCGTTTATTATCCAGTCAGTCCTTTGAATGTCTCAGTCTGATTTCTGCATCAGTTACTCTAACCCTTACCTAAGAAGCAAAAAGCTCCTGTGCAGATTGGTACCCAAAGGGACATCCCTAGGCAATGGACACACACCTATTATTATACCTGGGTAATAACAGTCTTTGCTAAATTCATGAGTAAACCACTCAATTACAATCACAAGTTTTCTACAAAAAAAAAATAAAAATTAAAAGCTAGAACTTCAGCTTGACCAAATTGAACTTAAATTACGTCTCCTAACTGTATTTTTCCCCTATAAGTTAGAGAACATTTGAAAACATTTGACCTGATTTCTCAGATCTCCTATAATTTTCTAGTCAAATGTTATAATTTCTACTAACCCTCAATTTTAAAAATAGGCATAGAAGAAAGCATATTGCTCTAGAATTTAGGAGCACTAATTACTTTCTTCAGTTTTTGTTATCAAGTTAACCATATAGACATTATTTTGTATTTCTTTTTAAAGTATTTTTGTATTTTACATATTTCTGATTAATGCACGTTAAGTGATTTTAATGTGCTTTTATGATTTATTTTTAATATGAAAATATGTATATACAATATGATACAATACATATATAGGTTCATCAGCTACAATTGAACAGAAAGTACTAAGAAAAAGAAAAATGCCTTTCCAAATATTTTAAACACAAAAGAATCATTCTCATTGGTTCTCCAAAAAAGAAGGGAGGGAGGGAGGGAGGGAAGGAAGGAGGTAAATCCCAGGGGCCTGGAGAGATGGCTCAGCGATTAAGAGCACGGGTTGTTCTTGCAGAAGACCTGGGTACAATTCCAAGCACCCACATGGCAGCTAACAACAGTCCCTTACTCCAGGTTCAGGTGATCCGACACCTTCTGTCCTCCAAGGGCACTGAACAACATGGGTGCACTTACACACATGCAGGCATAACACTCCTACACATAAAATAAAAATAAATAAATCAAAAACAAAAATTTAAAAAAAAAAAGAGTTGATTCCTATTGGCTTTAGGGAGTTTCCAGAAGTGACTCACGTAAGTAACTGAAAATACTTTTAAAGAAGTGGTGACAAGGTCTGAAAAAACCATAAAAAGTGGATTTGAATAGCCTTGCCCAGCAGAAGCTGCTTGAAGACTGATTGAAATTGTAGTTAACATCAATTTGAACTGGGGCTTCCAGAAATAATTCGCTGTTTCAGACAGCCGATAAGAAATGGATTTTAAAAGTGTAAACAGTAGGTTAAGAGATTCAGTACATATTGTTCTTCCAAGCACTAAGCCCAGCCCTAAAGCAAGCTCCCCACCCCCACCCCAGGACTGGCTGTGTCAGCACACCTACTTTTCAGCTGCCATTGCCCTCAATGTAACCGACACAGTTTTCTGACACTCTGTTTACTGCTGGATGAAGTGGCCATTCAAGTCTGTATAAATCAAACAGTTTGGACAAAGCTGGCAGTATTTATAATGTCAGGATGAGCAGATGTTTCAAATTTGCCCTCATTTCCATATATATTCTGTTTGAACATGCCCTGGCCCATGTAAATGAAGGAGGCATACGAATCCACCATTGCTTTAAATTCGTTTCTATTCAAATAATTGGACTGAAGATTTTAAATGGCTGTAATTTTGCATGGTAGCATTTCAGGAGCTTTTGAGGTAAAGTAATTTTAGTTCCTGCTTGTATCTGGAGTTCTCTGTGTGTGTGATTAGATTTCATTCACTTTTAAGCAGCTTTAAATGAGAAAAGATAATACTTAGTCATACGAATTTCAGGTATGCTTTGAATATAAAGGGTCAACCTGTAGCCCAAAAGTTCTTTTAATGTGAGGGTTAATTTTAGAAGGTCAAGTAATAAGAAATCTCTTCACGATACAACTCTGTTTCATTGTATAAATATGCACTTAACAATTTTACTCTAAGTGAAGGGTGGGAATTGGTCCATTATTATAATGTGTTGTAGAAAATAAAGGCAGCACTTGAAACATCAGAAATCAGTGTCAGTGCTGTAATGACACGTTCTAATTCAGTGTATTTTGTTGCATCTCCTTTAGAGCCTCCACATTTTGTTGTGAAACCCCGAGACCAGGTTGTTGCCTTGGGACGAACTGTGACTTTTCAGTGTGAAGCAACTGGAAATCCTCAACCAGCTATTTTTTGGAGAAGAGAGGGGAGTCAGGTATAACTTTACTGTTTTAAGCAGAAAATAGTCATGCTAGATATCTGAGAAGAATGTAATCATATAACAATGAAATTAACAGGAAATGAGAGCCTAAATGCCCCAGAAATTTTAGAAAAAGAGAGAAGAAAAAATTGTCTTTGTTGTTTTAATTCTGAAAGCAATTTTTCATGCCTAGTTTCCCTACACAGAGGTCATTGTTTACCATATGAATGTTACTTTTATTTCTAATCCATACACACTGAATAGAACCTTATCTATTCTCTGTATAGTTCCATTGCCATCTGTATTATTCATACATCTAGGATTATGTACTAATAAATTTGCATATATTTGAAACAGAATTGATGATTCATCAGTGTGAGTTCTCTGAAAACATGGGAATCTGAAATCCCTTCTGAATCCTCAAACTAGATGAAATTCTCTTTAATATCACTACCTTGTTCAATAGAGTTTAATACGTGCTAATCACTTACAATCAAATCTTATTTTATAAGCTATTTATAAACTAGAATTTTCTATACATGCTAAATTTAAAATATAGAGATCTGCTCCTATCCTATTTTATGGGCTTCAATTTAAGAAAGAAAGCAATTTCATAGACTTCAAGATGTCTCTTTATCTCTATTATTTTTCTTCTTAAATAGGTGAAATACCACACTTTATACCTGTAAAAATTAAGTCTTGCTCATTTTCAGCAGTTATTCCTTGACCTGTTATATTTTTGCTTTACTCATTCTTGGTTTGAAGGTCTTGCTTCTAATGTGCTTTTATAAAAAGCAACAGGTATCTTACTGACTGGACTCAGTTATCTTTTGTGAGTAATCCCATCAACTTCATCTTTTAATTTTACTCTGGTTCATGATATTAGCTTGATTATAATATATACATCATTTGAGTCATATTATCTTGGTAGGTTCTAACATATTACACTTGATCCCACCAGATCAAATGTTGACAGCTGAGCATGATGGCCCACGCCTTTATTCCCAGTGCTCAGGAGGCAGAGGCAAGCAGATCTCTGTAAGGTTGAACCTGGTCTACATAGAGAGTTCAGGGCCACCTGAGACTGCAGAGAGACCCTATCTCAAAAAAAAAAAAAAGAAAATTACCAGAGCACAAAGAAAGCGATTATTTTATAGCAGAAAATCTGAATAGCAAAACTAGTAATGTACTAGATCTTTTTTTAATAGCATGATACTTAGATTAAATTATTTAAACTCCACAACACATTCTCAGAAAAAAAATTATTTACTTTGGTATAATAGTGCAATCAATTTTCATTTTAAAAAGGTTTAAAATCAGTCCACTGAGTGGTAGTTAATCCTTTACACATTTTGTTGCTGAAGGTGAAGGCAGCAAAACTTCTAAAATGAAGCAGCCTTCTTTGATCAGAAAGAGGTCAATATTATTTATTTACTGAAATATAATGGCATTGTGCATTATTCTGAATAAAATACAAACGTCTCAGAGTCATGATCCATTGATCAGTTTTATATGAATGTCAAAAACTACAAAACAAGCATACTACGTCCTTAAAGGAAAAACAAGATATACAGCTGCTAAGTGATCAATAGATGTTCACAACAAGAACATTAGCAATCGGTACCTGGAAGATGTGCAATTTTGATTATTTTATTTTATAAGCAATTATATCTAATATATAATATATTTAATATACTTTATTGATTTTTGTGTATTTCATAAAATACTTCTTAATCATATTTAGATTAGTTCCCTTTCCCTTGCTTCATGTTCTCAGAGTCCCCCACAAGATTTCATGCATTTGATCATATATGTTAATGAGTCTACATTATAATTCTGTTTGTGTAATAAAGTCTTAATAGTTTCTAATGCTAAGAGCCTTGCATATGTAGAGCAAGACTGTTGTTATAGTTTGCATAAATGTGTATTTTAATTAAGTGGTATTTAATACCCGTACATATTTGGTATTAAACCCAAATTGACAGTTATAAAATATACATTAATACAGGGCATTTATTTAACTTTTCATATAGCCCTATTCAACTTTGTATTAAACCACTTATATTTAATAGTATATATCATACATTTGTACATTTATATATGTGGTTTGTGATGAAAGAATATTTTGTTTGTTTTTACATATATGTATATATATTAATACATATATTTACAAATGTATACGTAGCTGTGTCAAAATCTTGGAACCTAGCACTTAACCTATTTGTATTCTTTCCTCTCAAATTCTTGTTTTAGAATCTGCTTTTCTCATACCAACCACCACAGTCATCCAGCCGGTTTTCAGTGTCCCAGACTGGAGACCTCACAATTACTAATGTCCAGCGGTCTGATGTTGGCTACTATATCTGTCAGACTTTAAATGTTGCTGGAAGTATCATCACAAAAGCATACTTGGAAGTTACTGATGGTAAAGTAAAATGGTCTATTTTAAACTATGCAGATTTGTCTTAGGCTCAAAGAAGTGCCAATGAATGTATTGCTTTCCAGCTTTGCATTCTTCTTTACAGCTATTTTACTGTAAAGAGGGTTTGATACAATCATGAGTCTAACATTCTTAGATTAACTGTATTACACATTTGTAGCATCACATCATAGTCCTAAAAGCACAGCAATCATCCAGGAATAGGTTTATTCTGAACAGCTTTTCATAGGCAGGTTTATATGTTTTAGAAATATGAAAATTGAAAGTCACTTTGTAATCCTTTCTTCCTTCTATTTCCTCTAAATTCAGAAAAATAAAGAGAACTGATCATAAATCCAAGATCTGACAAATAATAACCTATGGTAATTTTTGATAGTCTGAGTCATCCTATTTATCCATATCCCTAAACGTGATCAATTATTGCCAAATATGTTTACAAAGACTAGGTAACTGAGAAAAATCTCCAACTTACAAGATACATGGTAGGGATCTTTTTTTTCAAGTAAATTATTTATTGAAAATTTCATACATGCATATAAAGTGTTTTGATCAAATCCATGCCCATTGCCTCCCCTCTAACTCCTCCCATATCTCCCCATCACTTTTTCCTGATAACTTCATGTACCCTTTCTTCTTCTTTATTTTTTTTTTTTAAATGGGGCTTTTGGCCACTCTAACATTCCCCCCTCTGAAGAAGTAACCCTAAAATATTTTAAGGATTAGATACAAGCTCCCAAATACTTTCATCATTTTTGGCCTTTCGAACAGACTATGTTGCTAACGAGGCCCAAGGACATTTTGACTTTTAGCCAAGAAACTGGCTACTTTCCTTTGGGGTCTTTTTACCCTAATTGCCTAGCCAATTCCTACCTCCTATTTTTTTTTATATTTTTATTTATTTTATGTGTATCAGTGTATTGAGTGAATGTATGTGAGTGCACCCGTGTCATGCAATGCCACGGAGGTCAGAAGAGGGCTTCGGATTCCCCTGGAACTGGAGTTAAGGACGGTTTGTAGCTGCCATGTGGGTGCTGGGAATCGAACCCAGGTCCTCTGCAAGAGCAGTCAGTGCTCTTAACCGCTGAGCCATCTCTCCAGGCCCAGTCTTACCTCCTATTCTTATCACATCATCCTCTGAAGAGGTTACCCAAATTGCCAATAGAAAATAGGTATGCAGACCACTCTGGCTTCTTCCATGCTGAACAGGGATGCAGGGTGAGACAATTGGAGTACCCCTTCAGTGCGTCTATCTAAAAGACTCCCAAATTGCATAACTCTTATCTCTAAAGGGAAAAGAACGGCCTTGAATCATGAATAGGATATGTGAAGGAGAAGTAAAGGCAAAAGTAATTAGCATTATAAGTTCTAGCCAGAGAACTAGAAAAAAGTCAGAACAGGGCAATTTTCAAATGTTCATATGAGTCCATTGGAATTTCTTTAAGAAACTAGAAGAGAAAATATCTTGTAAATATGTATTGATATATATAGGTTTTTGATAAAAAGTTAATTTATGAAATATTTATTTCACATAAGAAAATTATCTGCAAATATGTGAAATACACATATGTATTTACTTCAGATGATCAAAATACCTGTAAATGCATTAAATAAATGTATTTCAGTTATTTTTGAATTCATTTATATGTATATGTGAATGTAATATATGTATGTATATATATATAAAATGGAACTAAAAACACTGATATTCTTCTTTTTCTAACACTAAATTCATTTGGAAAATTAGAATTACTTTTACTTTTTCAATTCTATACAGTAAAAAGAAACATATAAGGAAAGAGCCATTGCATCCTTCAAGGAGAAAGATGGTACCAGAATTAAAAAAAAAAAAAAAAAAAAAAAAGAGTGGAGAATAAAAGCTGCTTGCTGCGTCCATTCACAATAGTTGATTCTACTGTTTGTGGACTTTTCATGTCGTGTGTGTGCAAGTGTGTGTGTGTGTGTGTGTGTGTGTGTGTGTGTTTATACATGTGGAGGGCACAGAAAAATTTTAGGCTTTGGTTTTTGGGTGTCATCCACCTTTCCTTGAGAGAAGGCCTCTCATGGGTAGAGCTCTCCAAGTAGTCTAGGCTAACCCCATAGATCCTGCTATCTCTGCCTCCCCAGTGATACATGCCACCATGCCTTGCTTTTTATGTGGGTTCTAGTGATTTAGCTTAGGCCACAGACTAAGTTACCCTCAGCCCCTGTTTTTCTTTTCTTGAGGCAGTGTCTCATTATGTTGTTTGGCTGGCCAGAGCTCAGGATTTTCCCACCTTCACCTTTAGAGTACTAGGATTACAGATACATACCGCTGTACTGGGCTTTGTTTTCCTAAATTTCTAGTAATGATTTGATCGTCCAGGATCATAGTTGTTTCTCTAATTAGCAGCCATACAGTCGGCTTTGACTCTTCATCCTTCCTTATCACTGTATCCATTCAGTAAAATTACAAATCCATCAAGTTTTCTTCATCACTGCACAACTCCCAGGACTAACTTGCTGTAGTTGAAACTACAGTAACTATTAATTCCCTCTGTCTCTTTTACTCTCTTCCAAGTACATTTTCATATCATTCTTCTTCCCAATTTTGTAATTCAAGTGTGAAATGAACTGTAAAATAGATGAAGTGAATACAGTGTGTTGGGTTTATTTATGAATTGAACAACAGGGTTAAGATATGGAACATTTCTAGACATTGAAAGGCTTTTGTTCATATGTCTGGTTGATAAACCCCTCTTTGGCACAGACTTTCATAAGCATTCATTTGTTTTACCTGTTCTTAAACCTGAGCTAAATAAAATCACATAGTAGACATTCTTGTGTATATGACATATTTGATTGAAAATAATGCCAGTGAAATCCATTCATGTGTATATCAATAATTCATGTATTTTAGTACTGTGTAGTATCCCATTGCATAAGTGAATCATGGTTTATTTATTTCCAGTTAGGGTTTTTATTAGTAAAGCTAAATCTTACTATACATATCTGTTGGAGGGACGTGCATACAGTTATCTTGGTTTGCTTTTTGGTGGACATGTGTTAAATTATATTCTTTTGACTTTCTTATGTGTTCTAGATACATTTAATTTTCAAATATGTGATTTTTAATTATCTCTTCCCTGGCATTCTCTTAATGATGACTTTTAGAACTGAGTAATAATTCTAGTGAGTTCAATGAATGATCTCTCTTTCATGATTACTGCTTTTAGTTTGCTGCTCTAGAGTCTTCAAAGATGTTCTGGGTCTGTCTTGAGAACCTTTGTTATTTATACCTTGGAGACTGAAGTTTTTATTCATTGTAAATGCGTTTTTTGTGTATGGTGTAGGTCAGAAGTCAAAATTCTTTTAATTTTCCTAATATGCAAAGAAATTGTTAAGCATCATTTGTGGGAAAAAAGAAAAAAAAAAAACATGCTTTCCTCATATAAATACCCTGGCATTTGTTTAGAATTCAAATGAGTATATATACCTGGATAATTCATGGTCTCTGTGTGGTTCCAAGATCTATTTACCTCATTTCCTACAGACTTAGTTAGCACATACTTTAAGTAAATATTAAAAATTGATAGTGTTAGTCCCCACTTTTTTCTTTATTTTAGTTTTGCTTTTGAAAATCAAATGCGTTCTTACAAATTTAAAGCCCAATGTCTGAAAATTCCACATAAGACTACATACATTAACAAAAGTTATTTTTTAAAATTTAATTCTTATTAATATATTTCAATTCAAATAAATGATGTATATCAAACATATATATCTCTCAAAAATCTCTTTAGATTTTCTATAACTTATCTTAATAAAGTCTATTGTTCTCAGCATAGAAATGTTATACTTACTTTTCAGAGTTACACGAGACATTTTATATTTTTGATGTGTATTTTTGTATTTCATTATTGAATTGTTTTAGGACTGTGTCTAATTATAACATTGATTTTGGTGTCTTAGCTTGTTTCCAACAACCTTAGTTAAATTCCTTCATTATTTCTAATAGTTTTAGGTAGATTATTCTGAAATTTTTATGTGAAACGTGTATGAACTGAAAACAAAACATCTACTTCGTCCTCAATATTTGTACATCTTACGTCTCTTCCTTGACCTTCTTGCCTGTCACCTCCAGTGTAGTGAGTGTAACTATAATAGTGGACATTTTTCTTAATTTCAAGTTCAGAAAGGAAACACTGAATATTTTACAAAGTGTAATGTTGTGTTGGATTTTTGTGGCTAATTGTAGTTTTGAGACTATCTGGAGGGCATTTTAGAATATTAGCTTCATTATCATGTTGCCTAGGGTTCCCAGATAATGTTGATGGTCCTTAAATATGCATTGCAATTCACAATCTAATCTTCTGCAGGCTGAGCTCTGAATAGCACGCTGGTTACATGCTTAATTATACCGTGCTGCTTGTATACCTCCTGTGTCTTAGGACTTCTCCATGCATCTACAGATGTAAATTTCACTCCCTTTGAGGAGTTTTCCTAACTCACTACATCCCCGTCCTTGCCTCTATGCACAGATTTACTCTGTTCTTGCCTGAGTTCTTTCATCTTATATTCCTCTGTCATGCATGACGACCTAAGTTCTATGAAATTTGAAACTTTTTTCAGGTTAGTCATGTTGAACATTTGCCTTGTAACTACCCAGGGTGCAGTGTGATAAATGTTCAATAGCTAGTTCTTGCATATCTGGAAGAAATAACAGAGGAACTTTTTAGAATTAAAACTAGGGCATCACTGTCAAAAACTCAGTACCTTATTCTTACCTGTGATACATATACATGCCCTGGATTCAGTAATTCAGAAGGCCCTAAAATGTGTTTGTGGTATGTGATGTACATTGCAGCCATTAGATTGCAGTTATAGAGACCACATAACAGGAAGTAGAATTTTAAAACTGCATCTTCTCTCATAATTGCAATTTTGTAAAGCAGCTTATATAAAGGTATATCTAAAATGAACACCGTTGAGGTATCCTCAAGTATCTCTAGTCATATAATTTAGAGCAAAGATTTCTAGGCTGTCTGTAAAGTGTCTTCAGTGCTAGCATGTAGATCTGAATTTGGATCTCCAGTACCCATGTAAAAAGACGGGCATGGTGGCACAAGTCTGTAACTCCAGTGCCAGGGCACTGGCCAACTTAGCCAATCAGTGGCCTCTAGTTTCAATGAGATACTGTGTCCAAAATAAGTTAGTAAGCAAATAAATATATAAATAAATAAACAAATAAATAAAGAGCAATTGGGGAAAATACCAGAAGTCATCCTCTGACCACCACACACAGATATACACATGTACACACACACACACACACACACACACACTCCCCTCCATGTACATGTTCGTGTACACACACACCTCCATGTACACTTTCACACACAGACACTCCCCCATGTACACTTTCATACACACACACACCTCCATGCACACTTTCATACACACATACACCTCCATGCACACTTTCGTACACACACACACACCTCCATGCACACTTTCATACACACATACACCTCCATGCACACTCTCATACACACACACACCTCCATGCACACTTTCATACTCACACACACCTCCATGCACACTTTCATCATGCACACATACACACCTCTATGCAAACTTTCATACACAAACACACACACATCAAAATGAAAAAAACGAAAAATATTTCAGTGTGACAATTTACATGGCATTGTTATGAATTGCTTATATTTTCAACACTAAAATTTTAGAAAAGCTCTACATTTGTGAATTTAAGACTCATTTCTAGTGTATTCCTGATACTAAATTCCTTGTTTCCCCACAATTTCCTATGGCTTTAGGGTGGTTTTTGCTATAGTTTGGGCACTATATTTTACTTTTTCTTTCTTTATTTTCATGTTCTTTGATATTAATCAAACAACTTACAACTGTGGACACGTGCTTCATAGCTTGGCCTCTGTTATTGTGACTGCTGGCTGTGTCAATATTTTTATACTCCAGAGTCTGTCAAAACGATGGCGAGTGAGGAGAGAGTATGTTCTCCATATTATTTGACTTCAGCTTCTTGACCTTCTCCATTGTTGGCAAACATAATAAAGGCAAAGGCAGAATCAAAGATGAGGCTGCAGCAGCAGCTGCCTGTGGAAATGTTGCTTCTCTGTAACTGCAGCTTAACCTTAATAGCATTTGGCTCAAAAACATTCACCTTTATGTCTACTTATTACTAGAATATAAGAAAAGATGAAGTTAAGGGTTATTAAAAGGCAAAGTTTAAAACCACTTGTATTCACCTCTGATGAACCAGGTGTACAGTACAGAGTGTTATCCCCAACTGCTATGATTTAGATATGTCTCTTCAACTTCTAGAGTGTCAGCTCCTGATCTTTAAAAAGCAATGGTAATGTTTTATATCCTATCTCCCAGCTTTGCAAACAATAGTGTTTGAAAGCACTTGCCAGTAGATGACAATCGCAATATGCAACTCTCATTTTCATTGGTGCATAAATGTTAAGTTTCCATATGTGAGTCAGTCAGTGTGTGTATGGTACTTTTTACCACAAATCCACACATCTACTCCCTTTGTTGAACATTCTGGTTTCCTATACTTTCTATTTTATTGCCTAATATTTCATTCTCACAATTACAGTGTAATATACTAAACTGTGATTTGAATTTGTCTCATAAATCTAGATTTTTATTTTTTTTTTATTATTTTTATTTTATATTTATGAGTGTATTGCCTGCATGTATGTACATGCACCTATATGGTGCAGTGCCCTCGGAGGTCAGAAGAGGATGTCAGCTCCCCTGGAATTGGAGTTATGGATGGTTGTTGGCTGCCATATGGGTGCTGGGATTTGAAACTGGGTCCTCTGCAAGGGCAATCAATTCTCTTAACCATTGAGCCATCTCTCCAGCCCCATAAATTCTAGATTTAGAGTTAACTAATAAACGTATTACAATTGTTGGTGTAAGTTGAAGGATTTTGTTAGTATTTTATGCTAATCAATGATAACACCATGGTTTTATTTTCTCTCACTAAAATGTGAAATTGCTTTGATGAACACTTACATTTTTCAGCTATGATTTATATGTTAGCTTTTCTCAGACAAGTACAAGTTATGCTGTCATAGTACCTGGGACTGTCTGACCTTTTGCAATTACTCCAAGCTAGTCTGAACACATATTGGTATCCTCATTTTATAGATTAAAAAAGGGGAGGGGGAGATGTCTCAGTGGATAAAGCACTGCCATGCAAATGGGAGAACCAGAGCCATGGAAAAGCCAGGCAGATGTGATAGCTGCCTGTAATCCCGGCAGTCACAAAGCAGAGGCAAGAGATACCTGAGCCAAGTTGGCTACCTAGACTAGCCTGTATTGGGAAACTCCAGGTCTGCAAGTGATCTGACTGGATAAATAGAAGAGAGCAGTCATCAGCCACTAATCTCCACATGCACATGCACACATACTCACACATGCACATGTGCCCACACACATGCATGCATACCACACATATACACAAGCAAACCACAATGAAAAGTGAAGATTGGAGAATGTAAAGAACCAACCCAGAGACAATTGGCAGGTGTCTTTTTGTTGCTTTGTTTTTTTATAACTACCCAGTAGAAATCACACAGAAGTAAATGGCGAGGCAACAGCATCAGTAAACTGGATTAGGGTAGAACTAAGGAGGTACTCAAGGTACCGTAAAGCAGCTCTGAGCAAACAGAATCAAATTATTAAACCCTAGATATTTGATTGTTTCTAAATATAATAAGAATACCAAATGTAAACCATGTCATTACTAGGTATAATAATAATAAATTAAAGAGATGACTCAGTTACTAATTTAAAGTCTAGAAATACATATTCATTCAGATAATCAGTGGAACACAGGTGGGCTTATAAATACCCAATTTTTATCATACCTACCAGGAGGGATCTGCATTTTGAATTTAGCAAACCCCCAAGATTATATAAGAAAGATTTTAAAATTTTTAAACAGAGGAAGTATTGGCTTCAAATTTCCAACATCTAAAACGCTCCTGTCAACTTTTAAAAACTGGTGTTCTAATATGGCCCCTGCTACTGGTACATTTCACACCAGTAAGGATGGCCAAGAAGAGAACTGAAGAGTGAAAGTGCACAGTTGCTGATTTCCCTTCATTACTCTTCTTTTTAATTTGAATGCATAAAACTAATAATTCTTGTCTAGTGCATAAAACCAATAATTATTGCATGATAAATGAGGGACAAATTGAAGTGTGACTACAGCTTATGAAAATTTTTGGTGCATAAAACTTTGAGCATAACGCATTCAGATTTTCAAATTATTGCATCCAAAACTTACTCTGGCAACCAGATTCCTTTAATCGGGCAACTTATTATGTTGTAACTTTGTATGTTTGTAACTCTTTCCTTTTGAAATTTTATCTGAGATCCAGATTCATAAAGCTTAATAATTAAAGAAAATTTCCTGCAATTTTATTATTTAGTTTTTATTCATTTTAAAGAAATTTATAGTTTTTGAGAGATTACCTCAGTCAAGAGACAGGAACATTTTTCTTATTTTGTTATTGTTCTTCTAGACATGTTTTAGATTTTCCCTAAAATAATGACTTTATGTGAAACAACATTTTCAGGAGTTGTTTTTCATAATAATGCTACTTAAATACAGTAGACATTCCTTTCTTTGGTCCTTTTCAAAGTACATTAAAATTTTCATGTTAAGCAGTATTGACTGAAGTGCTTTTGCCAATCTTGTTAATCCCAGTATGGGGGCATAGACTTTGCCAGTTTTGGACATCATCACCATCTTTCTGGATAGCCCACCAGCAATGCTACTGGATAATTTTCCAGTTTCTCTGAATCTGTTATAGTTCAGAAATTTGTACCTGTGTATACACTTTAATAGGAAAATCAGTCCAAGGTCCTAAGGCTCAGTGGACAAAGCATTTGCCTCACAAGTATCAGAACTGTAGTTCATGTCCCTGAGCACCCACATAAAAGCTGAGTAGTTGGGGTAGGATGCCTAAAATTCCCAGCATTCAGGAGTTGAAAGAGGATCCCCTTAGGGCAAGCTGGTTACCCAGAGTAGCCAAACTTAGGAGCTGTCAGCAAGAGACTCTGCATAAGTAATAAAATGAAGCGGAATACAAAGAGAGACCCAGCATCAACCTCTGCTCTCCGTGCATACTTGTGCACCCAAATGCTTGCACACCCACCACGTGAATACATGCTCTAAACAACACGCACGCACGCACGCACACACACATACACACACACACAAAGGAAAAAAAGAAAATGAAAAATCATTCCGAGATAGACAGCAAATTCAGTCCTATCAGTGTGCAAATGAGAGTGGAAAGGACCTTTTTAAATCCAAAATTGTCAAACGTTATAGCTTAGCAGCTTCATTCTGTTGTTGTTGGAGACAAAGCAGTTATGAAATATCAGGGTTCGCTTTGGATTATTAAAATCTGTGTGCTACATTTCTGTGGAATAAATGGGATAGTTCTGGTTGTTGTGTGTTTGCGTGTTTACAGTATTTCGTTCTTACCACTATGTAGCTACTTCACCATCCACAGCCCTTATTCAGTTCCTGAACTCTTAAGTCCCTTGACAATGCAGCAAGCGATGGCAGTAGATGGTCCTTTAAAAGGCGTATATTGTATCTCATTTTAACATTTTGAGTCACCGCATCATGTAAATGCATTCTGAATAATGCATGTCTCCTACTTTAATCACTTGTTTAATTATCTTTAATTTTTTTCAAAGCCTACAGCAACTGCTGTTGCTCGGATGATTAGAAAATTGCTTCCAGTTGCAGAAACCTATTTCCTGTTGTTTCTTTTGGCAGTGATTGCAGACCGGCCTCCCCCAGTCATTCGACAAGGTCCTGTGAATCAGACTGTAGCAGTGGATGGTACTTTAGTCCTCAGCTGTGTGGCCACAGGCAGTCCAGTGCCCACAATTCTGTGGAGAAAAGATGGAGTCCTTGTTTCAACCCAAGATTCTCGAATCAAACAGCTGGAGACTGGCATGCTGCAGATCAGATACGCTAAGGTAAAAAGACATGGTGGACTTCCTGTTTCATTCCATTTTATTTTTATCTGCAGCAACTAGTGTTGAAACATCATCACTTTAATGAAATACTAAATAAGATATTAATACATTTTAATGTGAAGCATTTTTTTGTTCAGGCATGCCTCTGTATGTTTGAGGTGATTTGACTTGTACTTGCCTATGGCAAGTAATTTTAGGTTCTGTGTAGGTGGAAGACCTATTGAGGAAAGCGACTGGGGATTTGTGGGAGATAATGTTCTCTTCATGGTGGTACGATTCAGGCGTGATGTAGAGCATTTGGGAAAATGATTTCCAGTGCCATTTGTGGACAGTATACTTGAACAATTTTTCTACTGTGTTTGGTTGAGCATTTTTCAGTTACAGAATTTTATACATGCAAACAGAACCTGTAAGCAATGCCCTAACTCACTGTTCATTTCAAATCAGGAAGCTGAGTGATAAAAAGCCCACAGATTTCTGGAAATAATGTAGGGATTTACCAACTCAGGGCATCACATCTCATACCTATTCTTTCAAGACTATTTTTTATCGTTTAGATTTTGTTTTTTGTTTTTTTTTTCTTTTTAGGTCAAGATCAGACAAGCTTTGGAGGCACACAAAACAGTAGTATTAGGCAGCAATAAACAGTAGTTTCAGTTGCTTCACTGTGTGTTGTGGGTGGCTGCTTTGAAGTTTTGGATCAACATCACAGTTGAATTTGTGTGCCACGAATGTTAATACATTGTACTTCTTTGTGACAATTATTGTAACTTTGCTATTGCCAGTGAGAGAGCCAAATAACAATGTTACTTGAAGATAAGGGTTGATAGATTAAGCAGAGGTATATGGCCTTAGGATGCTACTAATGATTTTTAAGTTGAATGTGCAGCCAGCATTCATTTTTTGACATTCAGTCTTCAGAAGGGAAAGTGTTCATTCCAGGAAGAGTTTGGTTTATACTTCTGAGAATGTCTTGAGTTTTATATTTTAAAAATGAGAAGGGAAAAACAAGAGTGAATGCTTTGAGAAGATACATACCATAGTGATTCTTTTTGTCTCTAATCTTTGATGTTAATCCTGGTATGTTAATACAATTAAATATATTTTTTCATTATATAGTTAGAATAACCATATAAAAACTCCTTATTTCTGTCTTCATGCAATATTTTCCTTCACATTTCAATAAAAATATATTCAATTAAGGGGATGTTTCTGGCTAGCAGATTTTAATGTAGTTATCCATATTCATGGACAATATACAAACCTGTAATTGCTTTTCCAGCCCAGAAAATTCTTGATTGTTCCAAATATTTATTTTCCATCTGCTTCCACAGCTGGGTGACACTGGTCGCTACACCTGCACTGCATCTACCCCCAGTGGTGAGGCGACATGGAGTGCATACATTGAAGTCCAAGGTACTTTCGTATTTTGTCTTAAAATAAAGCTTCTGTTAAAGTCCAGTTGCATGTGTGTAAATTTTTATTTTCCTCCCTCCCCACCGGTTAGAATTTGGAGTTCCAGTTCAACCGCCAAGACCCACGGACCCCAATTTAATCCCCAGTGCCCCCTCAAAGCCTGAAGTTACAGATGTCAGCAAAAACACAATAACTTTATCGTGGCAGCCAAACTTGAACTCAGGAGCAACACCCACGTCTTATATTATAGAAGCCTTCAGGTAGAACATATTTCTTGGTTCCCGTGTTCCCTTGCTCCTTCTGTTTTTTTCAAACATCAAATGCTCTTGTTCTAATTTATGCATCCATCCTTAGCCATGCATCTGGTAGCAGCTGGCAGACTGTGGCCGAGAATGTGAAAACAGAAACATTTGCCATTAAAGGTCTCAAACCTAACGCAATTTACCTTTTCCTGGTGAGGGCAGCTAATGCCTACGGAATTAGTGATCCAAGCCAAATATCAGATCCAGTGAAAACTCAAGGTAAATATTGATTTACTTAAGCTTATGACACCTACTTATCCTTAGATGTTATAATTATTCTGGCATGTTGCATGTATTACATGCTAGGATTGCACATTTACAATCTGTTCATTCTTTAGTGCACAAATAAAATGTCTACAAACTTAATATTTTCTGAAATGAAAATACAGAGATTGCTAACACAGGAAACTGCTTCTCATAAGATCACAAATCCACTAGACAAAAATACTGTGTGGATATGCGTATATTCTTTTCAATTTTGTAAATTTTAAATGTAGTTATATTTGTGTCTAATACCTTGATAATAGTATAATTGTATTTAAAACTGAATAAATTTGTTGGTGACTAAATTCAGTCCTTATAACCTTCTGGATGAATTTTTGGAATTTTCAGCCTAATAAATTTGTGTCCTGTCAAAAATCACATAGGTGTATGATACTGTTAGATGCTCTTCATCTCTCTGCCTAGTTAACTTCCTGCAAAGCATGTAAGAGTACGTTGTGACTATATGTAAATTTCTTGTTTCTTATACTCAGAATGTGAGATGTGATATGAAACTTTGAAATGGGAAATAACTGTATTTTGGTGAGAACTGGGTGAAAATGTTTAAAGCCAATTCTAAGATGTAAATTCAGAAGTGTTATTCATTTAACTTTCTTTTCAGTATATTGCTTTTTAACTTTTGTGAATTAAGGTTCCATATCAAATATATTTGGTACATTTGAAAATACTAAGTTTCAAATGTTTCCTATTTTGAAGAGTTCTGTTTTCTCTCTACTTCCTTGTTCATTCTATTGTTTTAGGACTCTCGTAGAAGTAAAATTTATAACTCTGCTGAAAAAAAGCTATGAATTTGAATCAATCCTTACCTTCCTTAAACCTAATGTCAATGTAATTAAAATGTGCTTGTTCTCACATTATCAAAGGAAGTGAATTCTAGAGAGTAGTGATTAGAAATATAAAATCATTTTCCAACATACAGAAGCGATAGCCTTGAGTTCATAATTCCAAAGGAAACATTGTAAATTAGTTGTGATGAGACAAGCAAGTTGCACACGAGGAGAGTGGAAGGTGCAAAGCGCTTTCCTCCTGGTGTGGGAGGACAGATGCCAGGATGGTGCATGTTTTCTCTATGTCTAGGGCACATCTAAACAGCATGTTTGAAAGGACCTTTTTGCTTTAGAACTCACAGAGAAAGCAAGCTGTGCTGCAGAACATGCCCATGTCTGTCTCTTATGTATGAGTTTAGCACACCCAGATGCCTGTGTTTGCTATTGTGAGTCACCTCTTCAGGAGCCTCATATACTTGGAGCCTGCCTTGAGGCATTATGAGATTTTCAATATTAGATACGCATTTGCAAAGAATGTAGAAACTATGACAGCTGCAAAATGAATTTAAGCTTTTGTCCCCAGTAGAGGGGTCTCTGTCCAGTGGACTCTAACTGAAAGAGCTGACAACTAACTTAATGCTATTCTATCATTCTCTTCTGAATGGTTTTGTGATACATATGCTCATTTGTAAACAAAGAGATGTTTCATATTTATATGGACATAAATTTTCTTTTCTTTGCTTCTTTTTTTAGTTAAACAGCCTCCTTCACATTCCTAGCTAGTGGAACAACCTAAATAAAAGTTCTTGTCTGCCAGGAGACTGAATGTGTCGAGAAATACGCATACCACTTTGAAATAAAAGATATTTTCATTTCACCTCTTCAACCTTCTAGCTGTGTGGCCCTAAGCAAATCAATCAATTCTAAGCCTTATGTCTCCTTGCTTATAAAATGAGGCTAAATAAACCCACTTCTCCAGATGTGATTGTTAACTAATCAGCAATAATGTATGAGTATGCAAGATGTTATTTTTTTCTATTTTATGTCATAGTAAACATCTTTCTTTCAGTGCCTGAATTGAAAATAAAGATTTATAAAATTTTCAGCAATCATAGAACTAAGAAGGTAGCTAGGGGGCCAAAAGAGAGAATCAGCTAAATATAATCTTGACAGCCTGAAATGATGAGCTAGCGCTAACTAGATTAATATTAATGGAACAAATTTTAAAATCTGGTACTAGAATTGTGGTTTGGAAAGTTAAATGACTAAAGTGGGAAGAGCAGGCTTAGGACAGTGTTCTGTGTCGGGGCTCTGGGAGGTAGACAGAATTTGGGTTTGAATTCGATTCCAAGACCTGTCTGAGCTCACTGAGTGATGTAGTTGCCCAAAGAACCAAAGCCATCCTTGCTGGGATTAGCAGAATTGTATCTGGATCAAGTTTTCTTGCCTCCTTTACTCTGAACGACTCAGACCATGAATGAAGTAATGTGTTTGTGCTGTGGGCACTTTGCTTTCAGATGTGCTCTTAGGACTTTTCTGTTTTGTTTTGGAAGTGTGTAATGGGTCAAATCTAGGGTTTTATATTCACATATGTTGGTGTCTTACTGCTGAACTATGTCCCTAGCCCTGTCTTAAAATTGTTTATTTTTGGCAAATTTCATACAATATATTTTGATCATATTTAGAATTCCTCCTGTATCTGCACCTCCCTTTGAATACACCACCAAATTTCTATACTCTAATATATATAAAGGTCTATAGAGTCATATGTGTGTCCCTAAATTCCCTTCAGTGTGGGTTTATCCACAGGACCTGGTCAACCTATGAAGTCTCACCCTTAATGAGACTGTATTTCCCCTTCCCAACAGCCATCAGTTGCCAGTAGTTCCTCAGACAGGACTGGTGTTTCTTACCCACTTCCCCATGTCTATGCTGGGGTTTTGTCTGGGTTGAGCGTATGTGGGACTGGTGTATGCTGTCACCATTGCTGTAGGTTCATATGGGTAAATGACTTACTGTCTGGAAAACTGTTTCCTTGTGGCTACCTACCACCCCCTCTGGCGCTTACAATCTTTCCACCCCTCTTCCACAGTACACAATGATCCCTGAGCCTTGGGAGGCAGAAGTTTGATATAGATGTCCTATTCAGCCTAGCCCTGACTTTTAGTTTTCCAAGAGGAGACCAGTGAGGATAGTTGGCAGAGCTGAATGAAAGGCTGAAAATCACATTATAAAAAAAAAAGAAATTCAAGAATCAAGCCCCAAACCGAAAACAAGTTAGGGGAGCATGCGCTCCTTTCCTTACCATTTTAGGAACCTGTCTTTTCTTACGCCAAGCAACAGAAAATGAGTACAAAGTAACCAAGGCACAACTCATTATTTGTATATTGGCCTGAATTTGAGATGCAGCTCATCACCATAGCATGGACTGTGACTGAACCTGAAAAAAATCCCTTGAGAGGATGCAAAGTGAACAAGCCAGAAGGGGAAAGTCAGGGGTGTAGAGAATTCAGGAAGACTTGTTGGGAATTAATTCACAAGTGAACAAGCATAATTTCTATAAACTATGGGGTAAATATAGCTACAAAGTGTCTTCCCCGAGAGGAGAGCTCCATGAGTGAGCTGGGGCCAAAGTTTAATGTTCAAAGACACAGGGCACCAGTTCACTGTGCAAGAGTCACTGGACCCATGTCATAGTTCATGTTGGCACCTTGTCACCAAAGGCAAAGTTTGATAATGCAAGGAAGAGAGACTGAGTAGCTGTCAGGTGTTTAGGTTGTTTCTGTAGGGTTGTATAGCCAGTCTGGGTACTATTCTGGATCCACAGATGAAGTTCTTGAGCCCAAAGTTTTTTTAAATTTTTATTTATTATTTTTGTTTTATGTGTATGAGTGTATTGCCTACATATATGTAAGTGCACCAATGTCATGCAATGACTGAGGGGGGGCGGAAGAGGGCGTCACATCCCCTGGGACTGGAATTACGGACAGTTGTTAGCTGCCATGTGGGTGCTGGGAACCAAACCTGGGTCCTCTGCAAGAGCAGCCAATGTAAGTGCACCCATGTCCTGAAATGCCTGCTGAGGTCAGAAAAGGGCGTCCAATCCCCTGGAACTGGAGTTACCTACAGTTGTTAGCCACTATGTGGGAACTGGGAACTGAACCCAGTTCCTCTGTAAGAGCAGCCAGTGCTCTTACCACAGAACCATCTCTCCAGCCCCTTGAGGCTAATTTTTTAAAAGAAATGAACCTGCACATAATACTACAGAATGTATACAGCATACCATATGAGAATATCAGTTGTAGACTATAATTCAATCAGTAATGTGCTTGCAGCTCAAGCATAAAGACCTGAGTTCAGTCCCTGGAGCCAAGCATGATGTTACATGCTTATAATCCCAACACTGGGAAGGAAGATAGAGAAGATTCCCAGGGCAAGCTGACTGGCCAGCCCCAACGAGAGACCCTGACTCAAAAAATAAAATTAATGACTTCTCAGGAGCAACTCCTGAAGTTGACTTTGCCCTCCACATATGTGCACACACGCATGTGTACTTGCAAACATATGTGCACCTACACACATGAACACACACCCACACTTGCATGTGCACCCATACACAACTACACATATGCACAAGTATTTTTTTAAGGAAAGTATTAGTTATTATACATAGTGAATGTGCCCTGAACAATCCTTCCTTAGTAATTGTGTAGAAAGAATTCCAACTCTGGAAATGAAATTGGATTGAGCCGTATTTAATGTTTATTCTAAGTCTAGCTCTGACTGTTGACAAAGATCAGTTATAACGTAATACTTTTAAGATATTGATTCACAAGCTTTTCAAAATTTATTATACATCACTTTCCAGTTTTCTTTCTGATGTACAATTTTCTACAATAATAATAGAGACTGCTATTGCAAAATAATACCTTTGGTGGAACAATCTCATGACTTTCCTGAAGGAATTGACTGGCAGGTTCCTTTTAAACCAAAGATTGAGGAACAAATCAGTATACTGACCTTTTAAAAAAAATGGTTATTTTTGTATTTGAAGAAACTTCCTTAAATACCGATGACTCTTTGAAGATGGTAGCTTATCTATGAAGGAAGTTTTTGAAAACTGACATAATGTATACTGGTTAGGAACTGTGGGTCCATTAAGATTGGCCTGACCTCTGCCCCTCTATAAAGTGCTTTTGTGACTGACTACATTGAGTTTCTCAAAGAAGTCTTAGAGGAAGCGGTTTTTTATATAAGTCACTAAGTGACATATAAGGGGTCTGCAGCTGGGGGTCTGGCTAGGCTCTTGCCTAGTATGCATAAGGCCTTGGGTTGAGATGATGGAGGAAGATATCTTCCCAAAGTCATATGATTTTTATTTACCCAGGCAAGATACATATTCAGATCCAGATTTGTTTGGGGTTTTGCTTTTGTTTTTCCTGATATAACTACTTCCCTCCTGCTTTAGAGATAAATGATAGTGAAAAACAAGGCAGCAGTGGGGAGCAGAGAGAAAAGACGTTGCTCAGGTGGCCACGTGATGGCCAAGTGTCCCTCCGTCTAGGCACCTTAAAGGTTAGCACAACAAGAATATGGCAAGTTGTCAAAAGTGTGGGGTGCAAGGATTATCTTAGTTATTTTTCTAAGCTTAATTTCTTCATTTGGAATACAGACAATCGCACAGCTTGAAGGATGCCTGTCATGCCTTCCATTTGTCTTGGTTCCCTGGACTCCATCAGAGGCATTCACATATCTCATTTAAATACTCATGCCTTTTCTTTCTATTCAGCAACAGAGGTTTTTAATCAGAAAACTAAAATTTTCATTTTTTGTTTTTATGAAATGGTAACAAATATGAAATATATGTGCCAAAATGTAACATTCTATATATAGCTCTCTAGTCCAAACACAGTGTTCATTTTCTTCTATTCTTTACCCTACATTTCTTCATCAACGGGCGATTTTTATTACATATAGATTTTAATAAGTTTAGCAAAACTTTTTCTTGTCACCCCCCCCCCAAAAAAGCAAGTTCAACATAAAGGATGGACACTAGTGGCAATTTAATTCTTACTGTGTCTGTGGTCTCCTTTCTAGTGCTTTAGTATTATTGACATTGAAAACAGATGCTTAAATCTTCCTTAATATAATATAGTAAACTAAATGGTCCTCAGTTAAATTGATGGTAAGTGCTCTTTTCTCATGGCGCTAATCAGGTTTATTTTATTGGACCTTAATGGTGGCTTCTGCATCCCTTACTCTAGCCATTTACTTATCATCTACCTTGCTTGAGATATCCAGGTTCATCGGAGAAGATGTGAAGTTTTCAGCTTCATCCTACCCCTCTTTTTCATGCCCGGTGTTCCCATGCTCACTGTCAATCCACTTGGCTACAATATCTGGTCCTTTCCTTTCTTGTATAGTAAGGATAACTGCAGACGGTTGTATCAAATTCAGAGAGAATTGTACCAGTACCCTCATGCTCAGCAGTAAAACGATCGCTACATGGTGGGAAGAGCTCTTAAAAATTAGTTTCCCACTGTACCTGCGTCCTGCTCCTGCCCTTTTGACTCCTTGTTTGTTCTGTCTCCTCTCCAGATCCTGCCCTATTCCCCACCCCAACCCTGCTGCCATTGTCTCTTTTTCTTTCTGATCCATTCTTCCTATTCTTATAAAAAGGTGAGGTTGATCTGTAAGCATGGTGACCTAATTTCAAATCCCAGTACCCATATCAAAGACTCAAGCGTGACCAAGGACATGCCTGTAACCATAGTGCTGTGGGGGGGCAGAGACACAAGGACCCTGTCTCAAAGGAATAAGGCTGAGAGTGAGGGAGAAGGTCACCTCCCATCCTCCTCAGCCTCTGTAGATACACGCGCCCACCCGCTCCTGCACACACACACACACACGCACATACACGCCCTTGTTAAGTTGTTCTTATTTTAATCTGTACCATAGATTGGCTTCACAGTCCTACTAGGTATTCTTTTCTGAAAATTGCTTTCACTCAGCACAGTAGCATTGTATCTGGCCTGACACAGTCTTCTAAAATTGTTGCAGATGTCCCACCAACCAGTCAGGGGGTAGATCATAAGCAGGTCCAGAGAGAACTGGGGAATGTCGTCTTGCACCTCCACAACCCCACCATCCTTTCTTCCTCTTCAATCGAAGTGCACTGGACGGTGAGTTATTGCTCTCCTTTATGATAAGCAGGTCACTTCTGTGATGTTATTATATATAGGTAATTTAACTAGCTGTTGCTTGCCTCTATACCACCCTTATCATGCAAGCATTGCTTACCATAGTAGCCATGATCCACTTTTAAACAAAGAACAATTTCTTATATTAGATAGATATAGATAGAAGATATGTAGATATATGTAACATTGCTAAAATAGTGAACTAACTCTGCCAGTGTCAGAGAAAGGAACCACAAAGTAGTAACTGAAGATGTGACATGTGATGTGCTGACTGCCACATGCCTTTTTTAGAAGTTAGAAATACTTCCAAGTAGCATTAAGATTTTTTAATGTACAATTTTTATTTACTCTTTTGAGAATTTCATGCATGCATACAATGTATTTTGACCATATTCACCTGACTACTCCTCCCCCAAACACCTCCCACATCCACCCCTCCCTCCATCTCCCCCAACTTCATGTTAAGTAGGTTTTTAAAACAACACCACCTTACCTGTCTCTTATATGTTATATCTTCTGTGGGGATGTCTCATGTTTATGCACAAAACATAGAAAACAGTATTATAAAAATTAATAGCATCTTACATTAAACTAGACACCCACATGGTGGAGCCTGGTAAGGTTCTGTTGTTGCATTTTGTTGTTGGTTTTTTATTACTTTGCAGTAAAGCAATAAAAAGATGTGAATGACTTCCATTTTTATTCAACATTGTAATAGGTGGACCAACAGTCTCAATATATTCAAGGATATAAAATTCTCTACCGGCCATCTGGTGTCAGCCATGGTGAATCAGAGTGGTTAGTTTTTGAAGTGAGGACCCCAGCCAAAAATAGTGTGGTGATCCCCGATCTCAGAAAAGGAGTCAACTATGAAATTAAGGCTCGCCCATTTTTTAATGAATTTCAAGGAGCAGATAGTGAAATCAAGTTTGCCAAAACCTTAGAAGAAGGTAAGCATGGAAAAGTGGGGTTTCTGTACAAACAACATGTTTGCTGGCCTTTTGTTAAATAAATGGAAGTTGTTAAAAAGCTAATCAGGGCATCATTAATCTTTCATAGTAAAAATATTTTGCTGTGAGAATTTGTTTACTTAGAACAACTACAAACAACAAAATGCTATAATAATTGACTTGTTTCAATAGTGGCCTGAACAAAAAATCCGCAGAGTTAACAATACCCTAAAATTCCCATTTAATGGTGGACTTGCTCTTGATTTGCTTGCCTTTATATGCTCTGAATGTTTCATTAATGCTTTGTAAATAGGGTGAGTAATACATGGGTTTGCCTGGACTTTCCAAGGTTCACGTTTTCTCTTGCTGCCTCATGTCTTAGGAAGCCCCATAGTTCTCGGCAAACCAGTACTTCCACCCTGTAACTGGAAATTGAAAAGCAATATTCACTTAAAAGTTTCATGTCACAAGTGTAGGGTAAAACAAAAAAAGACCCCAGAATTCTAATTGTAAATTACTGTATAAATTATTGGTTTTAATTAATATTGTGTAAGATTAGCATACTTTTTCATACTTTTGAACTTTAAAAATATTTTATTATTTTTATTTTATTTTATGTGTATGGATGTATTGCCTATCATGCAATGCCTGTGGAGGTCAGAAGAGGGCGTTGGATCCCCTGGAACTAGAGTTAGGGACAGTTGTTAGCCACCATGTGGGTGCTGGGACTTGAACCCAGGTACTCTGCAAGAGCAGCCAGAGCTCTTAACTGCTGAGCCATCTCTCCATCCCTATTTTTTTTTTTTTTACTTTTAAAATAGGGAAATGTGAAAGTAAGATTATGGGCTTGAGGATGGAATAGATATTGTCCTGGGATTTTTTTTTAAGTTTATTAGTGTGTGAGTGTATCATCTGTGTGCAGGTGTATACATGCTACAGGGAGGGTATGGAGAGAGTTGCTTCTCTCCTTCCACTTTGGAATCCAGGAATTGAACTCTAGTGGTCTGTCCAGCTTTCCCAGCCTGCATTTTTACTTCTGAGTCATCTCCCTGGCCCTGTCCTGGGATGATCTGTGCTGAAAGTGTAGCTGGTTCGGAAAGATTCACAGTAGCCATAATTTAGCACGAGTTAGAGAAAACATGTAGTTTCGGACAATTCAGAATTGGATTATATACATATTGGAAATATGCAATAACTGAACACTTACTGTTGTATTTTTATATATGAACTGTCTGTATTCAGTATTCTGTAATACCTTCTAATAATATACTTTTTAAAACAATTAGCACCAAGTGCCCCTCCCCAAAGTGTAACTGTGTCAAAGAATGATGGAAACGGGACTGCAATTCTCGTAACTTGGCAGCCACCTCCTGAAGATACTCAAAATGGAATGGTCCAAGAATATAAGGTAATACCCACTGATGGGTACCCCTCACTGCTGAAGAGAAAAACTGTTTAAAACGTCTATAGATCTTTGTCGCCATCTGCTGGCTGAACTGCTAATATTTAAAATTATTTTTAAAATACTGCGGGTAATGATTTTGGAATAATTGTCTTTGCTAGAAAAGCTATTTGAAAAAAATAAAGATTTTTTAAATGGTCAGCGAATATAAAATTACATATAATTCCACAGAAATAGCATATTTAAATGTCAATGATATATCCTCTCTATTTCTCTCCACTATACATATGGCTTAAATATATCCTCCAGAATTGGGTTACTGTATAGAAGTTGTTTTATACATAGCCACATTCCATCAAAATATGTTTTGCTTTCTTTTGACATCTGGAAGCATTTGGACTTTACTATTAGGTTGGGAACATTTTTTTTGTGTTTATAAAAGTCCATTTTTCCTTATAAACTTCTAGTCTCAGAGAAAAGTTAACTGCAAATTTCCATATATCAAATCTTTGAAATATGTAATATATTGTCAAGTTATTGACTCTTGCAATTCTAGATAATTACTTTTACTTGTGAAATAATGGCTCTGTCAATTAATATAGAGAGCTTTTGCTGAGATTCAGTCTAAGCAGATATTTTCTTAGAAACACAAGAAACCTTAGGAACCTCAGATTTACTCAAGAGTTAGAGCTTGGCCTACTAACGAATCTATATAATGATGAATGAGTAGCTGGTGGATCATATTAGGAATATCTGAACAAAAAACAGGTATGGGTACTTTTTCATCATTTCTGGATCCATACTACACACTAGAAGAATTTTAACAGTATAACATGCACTTCTGTGCACAGTAACTAGTATCTCTCTGATGACAGAGTCGTGTTCTAGTTACTGGCTAGCATATGGCGTAGTTTCATATCTGCAGATAGACACCCATTTCTGAAGTTAGAATGTGAACACACTGGGATATTCATCTGCAGATATGAGCATGTGAGGAAACCCCTGCCTTCTGCAGTGTTGCTCAGCCATTAACTGCAGGCTAACACTAGAAGCATCTTTGTGGCCTGACCTGGGCCTATTCATGTACATTTTGGCAAATTCCTAGGTGAACTGATGAATATACTTCAGTAAACCTCAAATAAGGAGCATAATTTTTATTGCATTTTATTTATTTACTCTGTGTGTGTGTGTGTGTGTGTGTGTGTGTGTGTGTGTGTGTGCATGTGGCACACCATGGTAAAGCAGTAGGTGTCAGAAGACAGCCCCAGAATCTTCTGCCATTGTGGGTTCTGGGATTAAAGTCTGATCATCAAGCTTGGGAGCAAGCACCTTTACTCACAAAGCTATCTCAGTGGCCTGGGTCATAATATTTTTTTTTTGACTATCAAATTAATCTGTAAAGCTGAGACTGAAGGTATATGCCTATAATTCCAGCACTTGGGAGGTCGAGGCCAGAGAATAAAAAGTCCAAGGGCTGCATGAGCTCTTGTCTTGAAGCAAAACAAATTAATGTGTGTATAACCAAGTCTATCACGTTTAATTTTAGGTATAATATTTGAAAATGATTTTTTGAAACCAAAAAAAACCCTCATAAATTCATGTACATTAATAGTCTATATTTTTATGAATTTAACAGGGTTGAAGAGGTGGCTCAGTCAGAAAAGTGCTTATCGCAAGAGCATGAGACACTGAATTCCCTCTTCCTATGGAAAAAAAATGCAGTAATGACATAGGCCTGTAATCTCAGCACTGGAGGAGCCCTGGGGCTTGCAGGCCAGTCAGTCTAGTCACGTTGGTGAGCTCTCGGTTCAATGAGAGATGCTGTCTTAAAAATTAAGGTGGAGAATCACTGAGGAAGATAGCAATGTCAATGTCTGGCCTCCACATGCATATACACGCATGTGTGTGTAGGTGCATACATGCATATATGCATGCACACATACACATATATACAAAATACACTTAAAAGACTGGCATGAATAACACTGTAGATATCTTAAGGCATTTCAAATAAGGTTTTCAATTGAAATTGGATCATTAAAAGGTAAAAGATGTCCATGGTTTTAAATTCTTTCTCATGAGTTCCAAGGTTATCTCAACATTGGGGAGTGTCAGGATGCCATTCAGAAAAACAGACTGTTGTGGAAGAGTTTTTTAAAAGAGCCTAAAATGCAGTAAAGTCTCAGCTCCCAAGCAAAATTGTGTAACGTAGGCATTTCTCTCCTAAGAGTCAAAACTAATTTCTTTTTTCAAGAAATGTGAAAGGGTGGATTTCACTTAACTTCATGGTCAATTTAAGATAATAAAATGCCTTTCAGAACCTGATTGACTGGTACAAAATCAGTTTGTGACTTTGGTTCAGCTGTGTAATGTAATTGATGGGAAAAATTTCACAAAGGAGTCTTTTCACTGATAGAGTGTCTCACCACTTGCAGGCATTATCTATTGAAACCATATTAAAATAAGAACTTTGAAAGAAAAAAAGTTAAAGGTTATTGACCAGTTGATAGAGGATACTCTTACCTTAGATTCCTTTAAATCCGATTTCCTGTTATAATACTAACCCATCAAAGCTAATCCTGCCTATTGATGGGGGCATCACAAGAACCCAGTGTGTTCCTCAATACTCTGTATGTTGTTTTCCTATGGAAACTGACTAAAAATATTATCATGTCCCATATCCAAGTGTTTTAAAAATATCAATCAACATTGCTAGAAAGATTGCTCAGTGGCTAAGAGTACTGGCTGCTCTTACAGAGGACCCAGGTTCAGTTCCCAACACCCACGTGGCAGCTCACAACCCTCAGTAACTCCAATTCGAGGGAGTATGATGCCCTTTTCTGGCCTCCATGGTCATTGCATACACATGGTACATTGACATATATGCAGGCAATACACTCAGCCCCTATCATCAAAGTTTTGGTCATTTGTTTTAACATCAAGAAATTTTCAGGAACAAACAAAAAAATGATCCTACAGAAGGCTGTGACTATCGATAAAGAATAGCAGAGCATCTGCCATCATTTGACAATGACATTGTAAGAGTGACTCCACATGACTAGGTGTCACAAAGGTGAGTGCAGCTCCAAGCCTGACACTCTGGGTCAGAATTAACTGGAATTGTCACTATCACATTGTATTTACATCAAACTCAAGAAGCAGTTGCCTGAAAGGGCAGATGAACTCCTGAATAGTCTAAAGTGTATCGTGTGAATATGGCATATGGCTGGTATTGAAAATAAAACAATACTGAAGTAGTAAGGGTCACCCTAGGGTTTATCAGAATATGGAATGCTGAACTGTGGCCAGTGAGCAAAACTAATCTGATCTTACGTTAAATTGAAAACTCAATTCATGTTTCACAGTACATAAAATCAGAAAAGATAATAATATGTACTTGATGTGAAGTTTTGTGACAAGAAAATAATTGTGGACTCATGAGTTTTGATAGTAATATGCAATAACAAACCATTCCTTTCAGGAAATTTAAGCTACAATATAATCCTTACTTTAAATTTTGTTAAACGACTCATCATAGAGTGATATTTTAGATTTTTATTTTTATGTGTGTGTCTACCTGGTAGACAGTGTGTGGGTGCACACTGAGGCTGGAAAAGGGCATTGGTTCCCTCAGAGCTAGAGTTACAGGTGTTTATTGGCAAATTATGTGGATGCTAGGACACAAACTCCAGTCTTCATAAGCCTCATGGTTTTGCAGCCAGCACTCTTAACTGCTGAGCCATCTCTCCAGACCCTGTATGATAAAATCTCAAAGGCTTATGATATCTATCAAAAGCACCTAAGAAAATGTAAAGGAATCTTGAAGCCACTGCTGATGTTTAATTCTAAAATTCCTGATAGATCTGAACTCTGTGTGAGTCTGAAACATCATCACATGCTGATCTTCACATTCACTTGGTTATGTTAACAGCTTTACTTTCATTATGTACTTCTTACAGGTTTGGTGTCTGGGCAATGAAACCAGGTATCATATAAATAAGACAGTAGATGGTTCTACCTTTTCTGTGGTCATCCCCTCGTTGGTTCCTGGGATCCGATACAGTGTGGAGGTGGCAGCCAGCACTGGGGCAGGTCCTGGGGTGAAGAGTGAGCCTCAGTTCATCCAGTTAGGTGAGTGTGGAATCTTTGTCTTAGCCCAGTTGCTTTGCTGTGTATTTTGCATGTGGCCAAGTAATTGTTGCAAGTTAAATAGAATGTAGAATATGGTTTATAGCTGAAATTGTGTGAACTTAATGTAAAATATACATAAATACAGATATATAGTAGATATCTCACAACTAAAACGTATCCAAGTATATATTATAGATATTTCAAATAAAGGCTGTTAATATCCAGTACCATCCTTACTTTGTCTCATGAAATTTGTAATCTATCCATCAAATGCTATTAGCTGAGTGTCAAAGAAACCTCAGTGAACAGGAAAGACAAAATCTTTCCACTCACAGAACTTGAAGTTATTTGTGTATTGGAGGGAGGCCTTCCATGGAACACTCAAACCAGGCATCGAAAATTTATGTAACGTAAAATTTATATTTATGTTTGATATCTGTTTAAAATTATTATTGCTTTTATTACAAAAGGGTAAATTAAGATAGTAAAGAATATTGAAATAATTGAAATATATTAGTAAGCTAATTACTTAAAAAGATAGTACAATTTCTTCTTCAAAAGTGTTGGGATAATTCAAAAGAAAAGGTGGCATACAAACCTTCACTACTATAATTCACTGAGGAAATATGTACATAATTATATAAATTAACAGGTGATTTATAGTAAAATCTAAAATAAACAGAACAACAAGAAATACTCTTGTGCCTAAAAAGAAAGGAGAAAACAATCTTATTGTTTGGCAATGACATGGAAATTATGAAAGGCATTAGGAAATACATAGTCAACTTTATATGTTACAAATTGGAAAATAAGCTTTAGTATATTTAGCATCAAATGTTAAATTATGAACAAAGGATCAGATAATACAAATCTTTATACATCACAAGTAAGTACATACTTTTCTTAATGTGCTAATAATATTATCATCTTAGAATTAAGTGAAAATAAAATTAAGAAACATTCAACTTGAAATATTGTTGAAATCCCATTTTTAAGAAAGTATTAGCCTCTATAACATGTACACTCATGCAACTTCTTTGATGTAATACGGTAAAGCGTCCTGAGGGTCCGGTTGTTGGGTAAGACTCTGAGGGTCATAGGATTTCCAGAGTTTTCACCAGGCCAGCTGAAGGGAGGAAAAGAAACATATATTCTATGGGAGGGGTTAAAGCTGCAGGTTTGAAAGGTACACATAACTCTTGCCCAGTGTGACTGTATGTGAGATAAATGAGGCCACCACAAAATGAGGTCACTGGGTAAGGAGCCACCTTCCAACAAGTTGTAACTACCAGATTCCCATTGAAAGCTTCTGTCTCAGTCATGAGCATTGTCTAGAATTTGATTTTTTTAAACTTTCTTTTGCACTTAGCAACTTTTAAAATAACTATTACATACATAACTTTTAAACAAAAGTAGCTTCATGGTTTATTTCCAGCAGTGCAGGAAAGTATAAAAATTGCTTGATGCATCTGTTCCAATGTTGTAAAAGGCATAGGGGAACAGTTCATATTGAAAGAACAGAAATTGATATCCACATTTTTATACATGTTTGTGCAATGTCAGCATCGCTTTATTAAAATTGAAATTGCAATGATCCTGCTGATGTCTGTTTTTATAGTGTATGACTTTTGTTCCTCTTTTTTGAAAGATGTGTTAGAGAAAAGGACCATATGTGATTTTGTTTATTTAAGATTTAAATTATGATATTTAAGAGTTAAAGTTGTTTTCTTGGAATTATAAATGTGTTCTAGTTTTCCATCTCTTAATATAGATAGCCTCAGCTGCAATGTGACAAAGTCTGAGATAAAGAGTGGCCATTTTAATTCATTAGTCACACTATACTTTATTCTGCTAAGCCCATCTGGTCACTCACAAGGAACCTCGTGTGGCTGTTTTTATAAAAATCTGAAGCTACCCAACTTAACCTTGCACAAACAGCCATGAAATCTATAAACCTAGCAGATACAAAGGGTGAATTAGGAATAAAAAGAATAGGTCTGCTTGGTGAACTTTGAAACGATGAAGTGCTCTTAGGACAATCTAGAGAGAAAAGGGCCTGAGACAAGAAATAAAATTTTCAGTCAACACACAGTTGAAAGCAGGTGACTGCTTGTGAAAACAGGGTTTTTCAGCCTTGACCCTCTATAGAATAAACTCTGAGATTTTGTTCAAGAAAAGAAGTGTGTGTGCATACACACACACACACACACAGAGAGAGAGAGAGAGAGAGAGAGAGAGAGAGAGAGAGAGAGAAAGAGAAGAAATTTAAATATTTCACATGAAAAAAAGTGCTTTTTTTCAACAAGCTATTT